GGCAACAGTGATTGCGGATGCATCTGTATCTAAAACAAAAAATAAAAACAAAACAATCTTATTTTGTCACGCAAACATTTATGATGAGCTTTAATCTATATCTGTATCTCTCTTTCTTTCTCTTCCTACTACTTTGCATCGCTGCTTTTGCACGTGCGAAAGAATGCAAAGACAAAACGAACAAAATAATGACAAATATTTTAATAAACAAACCAAAAATGTAAGTCTTTCTCTACGTTTAATAGAGTGGGCATTTTTGTTATGAATAGGGGGAACAAAGAAGAAAAAGTGGAGAAAAGCATAGACAACGAAAAAATGTTAAAACAATAAGTTTACAATAAAATTAAAGCGAAAGGAAAATGATTAATATGAAAACAAAAAACTATTATTTGTATTCCCTCGAGGGAAGTTAACGGCAATTGTTTTAAACGCACTAGTGCAGTGACTAGTGAAAAAGGGACATATCAATTGACTGATCCAATTTCAATAACGTAGCCGCATTCGAACTAGAACTACTAAAGATGAGAACAAGTTGTCGAATGTGATCTACATGCATCTCAGCATTTTAGATTAGAATGATCTATAGATCACGTCTCAATATCTATTCTAAACTAAATAGACTTTCCGTTTGGGCTAAAGGTTCGAAAACAATCTAAAGACATGTTCCAGAAGTCTAAAATAACAACGGATTATATGTTTGAACTACTTAAAAGTAGGAAATTTAAAAGAATTTCATTTGAAATTTCGATCACTTTCAAATGCCGAAATTTTGGTTCCATTCCAAATAAAAAAAGAGTTCAATTTTGACAAAAAATAAACACAGAATAGGATAGATGTTTCTCTCCCAAAATTCAGAGATATTCAAGTTCGGAAAAATTTTCGGATTAGATGAGAGTATTTCTTCTAACATAGATTGAATTTCCGTATATTCCGACGAATATAAAAACAATATGTGTCCAATGTTCGATCTACTTCATAGAAAGGCTTTCAAATATATAATAATTTTATAGAGATAATGATTTTCTTAATTAACGCGAACTTAATACATATTTGCCATAACTGTAAACAATACGATTTCCCTTTAATTTGAAATTTAAAACCTGAAACTTAAATCGCAATAAATGCAAAATTCAAAAACCCACAAGCACCCTCTAGGCAAATTAAATTCTTAAAAACGTAGAAGGGGTGTTCAATAAAATGTGGTATGGAATGTTGTTGTACATTGTTGGTGTAGGTTTTGTTTTTAGAACTTTGCCTAAAAAGGGGGACATATCATTGCTATTACCATAGATATATTTTAAAATTTAAAACGAGGCTAAAACAAAAATCAACCAACAAATGCTATGAACTAAATAAAAAAATTCAATGTTAAAACGTTTCAACAACAATTACTGTGTTAAATGAACATGAGTGGACAGAGGGAAGACCCAGTTAAGGATATATGCATGTGAATGACGGCTGACTACTTGTCACAATAGGTTTTTTTTGCGTTATTTATGGATATTGTTTGTAGGTGTAATGAAACAATAGATAGAGATATGGTGCGGTAATATTTGAAGGAATGGAATGTTTTTAACATATTTTACTTTAGCCAGAAACGTATAAATTTTATTCTGAGATATCTGGGTCTGAATTAATTAACTATTGAGATATCGTACGCTAAAAGGTGAAACTGCTAGAGGACTGGATGTACTTTTTAGTAAGTAAGTAAGTAACTAACTAACTAACTAACTAACTAACTAACTAACTAACTAACTAACTACTAACTAACTAACTAACTACTAACTACTAACTAACTAACTAACTAACTAACTAACTAACTAACTAACTAACTAACTAACTAACTAACTAACTAACTAACTAACTAACTAACTAACTAACTAACTAACTAACTAACTAACTAACTAACTAACTAACTAACTAACTAACTAACTAACTAACTAACTAACTAACTAACTAACTAACTAACTAACTAACTAACTAACTAACTAACTACTAACTAACTAACTAACTAACTAACTAACTAACTAACTAACTAACTAACTAACTAACTAACTAACTAACTAACTAACTAACTAACTAACTAACTAACTAACTAACTAACTAACTAACTAACTAACTAACTAACTAACTAACTAACTACTAACTAACTAACTAACTAACTAACTAACTAACTAACTAACTAACTAACTAACTAACTAACTAACTAACTAACTAACTAACTAACTACTAACTAACTAACTAACTAACTAACTAACTAACTAACTAACTAACTAACTAACTAACTAACTAACTAACTAACTACTAACTAACTAACTAACTAACTAACTAACTAACTAACTAACTAACTAACTAACTAACTAACTAACTAACTAACTAACTAACTAACTAACTACTAACTAACTAACTAACTAACTAACTAACTAACTAACTAACTAACTACTAACTACTAACTAACTAACTAACTAACTAACTAACTAACTAACTAACTAACTAACTAACTAACTAACTAACTACTAACTAACTAACTAACTAACTAACTAACTAACTAACTAACTAACTAACTAACTAACTAACTAACTAACTAACTAACTAACTACTAACTAACTAACTAACTAACTAACTAACTAACTACTAACTAACTAACTAACTAACTAACTAACTAACTAACTAACTAACTAACTAACTAACTAACTAACTACTAACTAACTAACTAACTAACTAACTAACTAACTAACTAACTAACTAACTAACTAACTAACTAACTAACTAACTAACTAACTAACTAACTAACTAACTAACTAACTAACTAACTAACTAACTAACTAACGACTAACTACTAACTAACTAACTAACTAACTAACTAACTAACTAACTAACTAACTAACTAACTAACTAACTAACTAACTAACTAACTAACTAACTAACTAACTAACTAACTAACTAACTAACTAACTAACTACTAACTAACTAACTAACTAACTAACTAACTAACTACTAACTAACTAACTAACTAACTAACTAACTAACTAACTAACTAACTAACTAACTAACTAACTAACTAACTAACTAACTAACTAACTAACTAACTAACTAACTAACTAACTAACTACTAACTAACTAACTAACTAACTAACTAACTAACTAACTAACTAACTACTAACTAACTAACTAACTAACTAACTAACTAACTAACTAACTAACTAACTAACTAACTAACTAACTAACTAACTAACTAACTAACTAACTAACTAACTAACTAACTAATTAATTAACTAACCCTAAAACTTCCTCTGAACTAGACCGACAAATTCGAACACAATTCAGCGATTAAGAAATCGGTTCCAGAAGTGAATTGTTTTGAAAAGGACAATTACAAAGCAATAGAATACACCACAGTTATAAATTTTTAATATTATTTATTTTTCATAATAAGACCTTACCTTGTTTCTGATATATTTAAGCAATTTCTGGATGAAAACCAAATTTTCTGAAAGGGCCTAGAGGCAAATATGGACCGATTCCGATAAAATTTGGTGAATAGATTTATATTTATATAATATAATAATTTTGGGCATTTTCTGAATGGGACATTGCATGAGAATTAGGGTCAAATGTGGTCCGGAAGTTTGCCAAGGTCATTTAAACTACTATAAAACATAGATGTGTCCTTTTTATTGAGATATACAAGTATATTTCAAATACATAATTATGAGTTCAAAAGCCCTTTTTGGATGAATCTGTTATATGGGGACTAGGTGAAATAATGAACCGATTTTAACCACTTTCAATAGGCTTCGTCCTTGGTCCAAAAAAAGCGTATGTGTAAATATCCAATTATCCTAAAAATTGCTATCTGTAGCTTGCGCACAAGCTACACATTGACAGACAGCCAGACCGACATGGCTTAATTGACTCAGAAAACGATTTTAAAATATAAAAGGAGCAAATTCTTTACAACAATCCAATACTTTTAGAGAACTGCATTTAAAAACAATAAACAACAATATAATTACTGACCGTCAAGGGCGAGAGGATTAAGGGTTGTGGAGAGGAGATAGTTGTAGTGTCATATTGCCTAACTAGATCTATTGTATTAACTTGTACTGATAGTAATAAAAAATTCCCAAGTGATTCATTTAACATAAATTTTTAGATTTTTTTCTTGTTTTTAAAAAAAGTAAACAAATAAATGAATGAAATTAACTATTTGTATATGAAATATGTGAAAAAATGTTTAGAAGCGTTTAAGTACAATTTATTTATATATTTTTTTTTGTTAAAAATATTTCAGTTAAATTAAGGTGTGGCTACTATTTTCTTCAAATTGTTTTCATTATTTTTTTTTAAATTTGTATTCAAAGTGTTAAAAAAACGTTTTATTTTCATCATCAAATGGGAGGCAGAAAAAAAATGTATAAAACAAATAGATAGACGTTAGATACGTTTACACAACTGTTGCTGGTTAAAAAATTGTTTGCTGTTGGTTGTTGTTGTTGTTGTGATTGTTAGTAGTATTGCTTTTGATGTTTGTTTGAGAAATATTTGTTTATCTTGTTGTTACTGGTTTTGTTGTTGTTTTCTACGTTTTTGTTTTAATAAAATGCATTTATTAATAATAAAACTTTAAAAACGTCAATTCAAAAACATAATTGAACATCACAAACAGGTTTCAATTTTTGTTTTTTTATTAAATTATTTGTTTGTAGAGATTTTTTTTTAAATATTTTTTACAATTTGTAAATTCCATTTTTTGTTTTTAAAATTTAAAGTTTTTAAATTATAATAATTACTACTTAATTGTGCATATAATGAATATTTAAAAATACGTCTATAATTATACAAAAAATTTTAATATTAAATTAGTTTAGTTACACACATTTTTGTTGTTGTTGTTAAAGCTGTTGGGTTATTTGTTGCAAATAAACAAAAACTATTTTTGCTACAAGTGCAGTTTAGTATGTTTTATTATTTTTATCAAAAACACTTTTAAATTATACGTTATTTTTCTTTTTAATAAAATATTTCGTTTTCAAATTTCGTTGCTTTGTTTTTATTTTAATTTCCGTTTTATTTATTTTTACTTCGTTTTGACCGTTACAATATTTTCACGCACGCGTTCTCCAGCACTCTTAAATAACAACTAAATTTCTTTTCATTTGTTTGAAAATTTATTAACTAGAAAAATGCTTTTTGTTGTTTTTTAAGCGCTCTCTTTATAACACAACTTTTGTTGTTCTCTTTGAATGTAAAGAGAACAGTACGGAAACAGCTTTTATAAAAGTCGTGTTTATTTATTTTTCATAAATGTTATGTACAGTGTATGGTTATGCTAGTTAACAGAATAAAAGTTTAATTGAAATTTACGTTAAATAAGTTATATACAGTGCTGCCAGAAGAAATTTAAAAATTCTATGGGGAAAATTTAGTACTTTAGTTCTTTTTTCAGTCAACATAGTAGTTAATTGACCACTAGTCCTTAATCAATTCCATAGTCAAGTCTATAGTCTATGCTATAGTCTAGTCTATAGTCTAGTCTATAGTATAGTCTATAGTCAAGTCTATAGTCTAGTCTATAGTCTAGTCTATAGTCTAGTCTATAGTCTAGTCTATAGTCTAGTCTATAGTCTAGTCTATAGTCTAGTCTATAGTCTAGTCTATAGTATAGTCTATAGTCTAGTCTATAGTCTAGTCTATAGTCTAGTCTATAGTCTAGTCTATAGTCTAGTCTATAGTCTAGTCTTTTTTTTTTTTTTCCTGTAGGTAGGTGAAAATCTTGCACCAGATACCCATGACTTGGGTTATGTCGGATTCCTACCGACTAAAAACACCTCCTATCTCTTCCGGCAACCCTGCGGGACTGTCTGCTACGATATTACTTCGCAGGGCCGGATAGACTTAATTAGTCTCTACTTCTTGTTGCAACAGAATCTTTCTGATTTTCTCTTCTTCTCTCAGTTTTACATGTATTCCTTTGATAAGGCTGCACACCGCATTCCAGTTCTCTTTCCTTTTTATCATAACGCTTGTTATGTTTTCTACATTTATACTCTCTCCTATGATTTCTTCTGTGACTAATCGCTCGCTTTCGAATCTTGTGCAGCTGAACAGAACGTGTTCTGCGTCTTCGATTTGGTTCTTGCAAACTGGACAATTAGGTGACGTGTCCAGTCGAAATTTGTACAGGTAGTGCCTATACCCTCCGTGACCAGTGAGGAATTGCGTCATGTGGTAATTTACTTCTCCGTGGGATCTGTATAGCCAAGGATCTATTCTTGGGATCAATCTAAAGGTCCACCTTCCTTTTTGACTTTCTTCCCATCTCTTCTGCCATGCTTGGATAGATTTAATTCTCTCTATGTGTGGGATCTCGTTTGCGTTTAGTGGGCTTGATTTTTTGCGCACATACACACGTTTTGCTTCGTCGGCCAGTATATCGATTGGGATCATGCCGGCTATAACATAAGCTGCATCATCTGACGTTGTTCTGTAAGCGCTACATACTCTTAGAGCGCAAAGTCTATACACGGAGTTTAATTTCTTTGCCACTGACTTAATTTTAAGAGCTTCCGACCATATAGGGGCAGCGTATAAAATCGTTGATTTCACTACTGTAGATATTAGTCTTCTTTTGTTCTGTTTTGGGCCTCCAACGTTTGGCATCATTCTTGATAATGCTGTCGCGATATTCGATGCTTTAGAACTTATTTTTTCGATATGTCGTTTGAAGTTCAGTCTGTCGTCTATCACCACTCCAAGGTACGTGAGCTGCTGTTGGGATGTGATAGTGTGGTTTCCAATTTCTATGCTTATTTCTTCTCGTTTTCGGCGACTGGTTATCAAAACTGCTTCTGTTTTATGTTCGGCTAATTCTAAGCCGCATGATTTCATCCATGACCTGACAGCATGTACTGTTTCATTCGCTATTAGTTCAATTTCATCAATATGTCTAGAAGTGACAACAATTACAATATCATCCGCAAAACATACTGTGTTCGCTTCGTCTGGTATTCTAAGGTTTAATACGTCGTTGTACATGCTTATTTCCTGATTCCACCAATAGATTGGTTGGCGGTTTCCCGCAAGCCTTCGTTTCGGCATGGATATATCGCACGCCTCTCTAATTTTCGACATTAGTTGTTCGACCATTTCAGATGCTGTACCCTCCAGAGTCGGAAAACTAGTAATTGCCTCTTTAAAGACTTCTTCGTCTAACTTAGCAGATGCCCATCCTTTATAGATTGGCTGTGCGATGTTTTTTGGGTACCTTCCCTCTGATTGATCAATGGAGAAAATAATGGCCTGGTGGTCGCTGTGTGTGTACTGCTCGCTGACATTCCAAGCTAGTGTTCTTGTTAATGAACTACTTACAAATGTAAGATCCACTATTGAACCTAGCCCTCTTGCTCTAAATGTGCTTGCATCTCCTTTGTTGGCCAAGATTAAATCATCGCTGGAAAATGTTTCCAGTAAGATGCGGCCTCTGTTGTTGGTTGTCCTACTTCCCCATTCAGTAGCCCAAGCATTAAAATCTCCTGCGATAATTTTTGGGTTATGCAGTTCTGCGTCTCTTTTCAGTCGAGCTAGCATATGTTCGAAATGTTCAATCGAAGCGCTAGGAGGAGAATAGCAGCTATATATGTAAATACCTCCTACTTTGGCCCTTACGAATCCTTCAACTAGTTGTTTTTGATTACTCTCAATAGCAAGTTTTCCACATGCCCATATCGCGGTTTTGTCCGAGGAGTCCTTAACCCAAGCGTTTGATTTTAAATTTCTATGTTCTTCACATATGATGGCGACATCAACACGAGTTTCGCAAATAGTTTGCGAAAGCAGGTCCTGTGCCGCCCGACAATGGTTGAGATTTATTTGGATTAATCTCATCTGCGGCGTTTTTCCAGCGCTTCTCTGAAGACTGGACATCTTCCACTACCTGCCACGTGGTTGGCTTCTGCTTTATTCATTTCTCTGCAGAACATACATTCAAGATCACCTGTGCAATCCTTCGCTATGTGTCCGCTTTTTCCACACCTTCTACATAGTTTAGATCTGTCGTGGGGGTTTTTACAGGACCAGGCCATGTGTCCAAACTCCAGGCACCTAAACATTGTCGTAGATCTACCTTTTCCCTTAGTCTATAGTCTAGTCTATAGTCTAGTCTATAGTCTAGTCTATAGTCTAGTCTATAGTCTAGTCTATAGTCTAGTCTATAGTCTAGTCTATAGTCTAGTCTATAGTCTAGTCTATAGTCTAGTCTATAGTCTAGTCTATAGTCTAGTCTATAGTCTAGTCTATAGTCTAGTCTATAGTCTAGTCTATAGTCTAGTCTATAGTCTAGTCTATAGTCTAGTCTATAGTCTAGTCTATTAGTCTAGTCTATAGTCTAGTCTATAGTCTAGTCTATAGTCTAGTCTATAGTCTAGTCTATAGTCTAGTCTATAGTCTAGTCTATAGTCTATAGTCTAGTCTATAGTCTAGTCTATAGTCTAGTCTATAGTCTAGTCTATAGTCTAGTCTATAGTCTAGTCTATAGTCTAGTCTAGTCTAGTCTATAGTCTAGTCTATAGTCTAGTCTATAGTCTAGTCTATAGTCTAGTCTATAGTCTAGTCTATAGTCTAGTCTATAGTCTAGTCTAGTCTAGTCTATAGTCTAGTCTATAGTCTAGTCTATAGTCTAGTCTATAGTCTAGTCTATAGTCTAGTCTATAGTCTAGTCTATAGTCTAGTCTAGTCAGTATAGTCTATATAGTCTAGTCTATAGTCTAGTCTACAGTCTAGTCTATAGTCTAGTCTATAGTCTAGTCTATAGTCTAGTCTATAGTCTAGTCTATAGTCTAGTCTACAGTCTAGTATAGTCTAGTCTATAGTCTAGTCTATAGTCTAGTCTATAGTCTAGTCTATAGTCTAGTCTATAGTCTAGTCTAGTCTATAGTCTAGTCTATAGTCTAGTCTATAGTCTATTCTATAGTCTAGTCTATAGTCTAGTCTAGATAGTCTGCTATAGTCTATAGTCTAGTCTAGTCCTAGTCTAGTCTCTAGTTAGTCTATAGTCTAGTCTATGTCTAGTAGTCCTAGTCTATAGTCTAGTCTATAGTCTAGTCTATAGGTCTAGTCTATAGTCTAGTCTATAGTCTTCTAGTCTTGTCTAAAGTCTAGTCTAGTCTTAGTCCTAGTCTATCTAGTCTATAGTCTAGTCTATAGTCATGTCTCTATAGTCTAGTCTATAGTCAGTCTATGTCCTAGTCTATAGTAGTCTATAGTCTAGTCTATATAGTTAGTCTAGTCTAGTCTATAGTCTAGTCTATAGTCTAGTTATAGTCCTATCTATAGTCTATCTGATTCTAGTCTATAGTCTAGTCGATAGTCTAGTCTATAGTCTAGTGTATAGTCTAGTTTATTGTCTAGTCTATATCTACCCTCTAGTTTAGTCTACTAGTCTAGTCTATATGAAAGGCGGCGTGCATGACAAAGCGTCGCCCTTTGTTCGTCCATTTATCGGTGCTGAGTCCAAGTGTGACTATAACGCTATCATAGACAATCTTAGGGTACTAACGGGATTACTTGCTGGACATTGTGATCTTAGATAGATATAAAATCCCATATATTCACTCTAGCCAACTCTTTAACTAATTTATGTAGATTCTGAGAAATCGTGATAAAACTTGCCCGAAGTCAGTTGTATATTTCAAAAATTATATTTATTAATTAAATTGTATTCTCAAATAAATACACACATAAACAATTAGTATATTTTTAAAATTTATTTACAAATTTTTTTATTTTTATATATTTTTCCATTTTTTATTAATATTTTTTTTTATTTATTTCTTCTCTGTTTCTATAATAAATAACATTAAATTGCAAATCGTTTACAGTCTTTCGTTACTCTCACACACTCAAAAAATGCAGCTACTTAAAAACTAACAAAAAAATAATAATTATAAAGAATTATTTTAATTAATTACAAGAAAAAAATATCAATTGTTTTTTGTTTTTTTTTTTTAATAAAATTTATGCTATGCTTAAATTTTATATAAAACAAGTTAAAACGGTTTTTAAAGGTTTAAGAAGGAGGTGGAGAGGAGGTTTTAATAGTTTAAAAGGTTTTATTTTGTGTTATATTAAACTGGCAACTCTTAGAACTAAATGAATACTTGGTTAAAAAAAAAAAATATATGTTAAATATTGTTAGCATTCTGCTGTTAATGTTAACCTTGCTGTTAGTGGGTTAATAGTAGTTGTTGTTTTTTGTAGTTTTATGTACATTTATTTCTGTTGGTGTTTTCAAAACACACGATCACGCAATACTAAACTTAGTGGAGTTTTAGGCGCTAATAAAAATTCAAATTCCGTTTCCAGCGGTTTGGTAAAACTAACATCGAAGGCAAGTAAAATCTATAAAAGAAAAGGAATATTTTATTAAGAAATTATTTCAATATTTTATGGGTTTTGTGGTAATACCTTTGCCAGCAGTAACACAATTTCCATTTCCACAAAACGTTTACCCGGACACGTTCTTTTGCCAATGCCAAAAGGCACTACTATGGTTGAACTTTCAATATTTACACTAAAATTACCCTCAGTGTCGATCCATCTTTCGGGACGGAATGTTTTGGCCTCTTTAAAGTTGTTGTCCTTGTGACAGGCAATCATATTTTGACACAGGACTACGGTCTGGAAAATAATATAAAAGAATATTTGTTCATTAAATTCTAGTTCATAAACTAGTCAATAGTCTAGTTCTTAGTCTTAAACACAGACTAGTCGATAAACTTGCCCATAGACTAGTTTATAGATAACTTAATATGCTACTCCATGGACTGGTCAATGTACTAGTCCAAAGACTATTGAATAAGATTGTGCATAGATTAGTTAATAGGTTAGTTCATAGTCTAGTCCATAGACTAGTCCATGGACTAGTCAATATAGTCCTTAGTCTAGTCCATAGACTAGTTCATAGTGTAATCCACAGACTAATAAATAGACTTCTCCAAAGAATAGTTTAGTGCAGAGAGATCTTAATTGGCTAGTTAATAGACTAGTCCTTAGTTAAGCCCATAGACTATTTAATAGGCTAGTCCATAGGATAGTCAATAGTGTAGTCCAGAGACTAGTCAACAGTCTTGTCTAGAGATTCTAGTCCAGATTAAGATCTCTAATAGGCTAGTTCATATAATCTTCTATATACTAGTCTTTAGTTTAATCCATAGACTAGTCTATAGGCCTTCCCATGGTCTAGACCATGGACTAGTCAATAAACTAGTTCATGGTTTAGTCCAGAGACTAGTAAATAGGCTTACCCATAGACTAGTTAATAGGCTAGTCAATAGTCTAGTCCAGAGACTACTAAATAGGCTTTTCCAAAGACTAGTTAATAGGCTAGTCCATAGTCTAGAGAGATCTTAATAGGCTAGAGAGATCTTAATAGACTAGTCGATATGATTGCCCATAGAGTAGTTAATAGGCTAGTCCATAGAATAGTCAATAGTCTAGTCCTGACGCTTGTCTATAGTCTTGTAAATAGGCTTGTACATAGACTAGTCCACAGTCTAGTCCAGAGAGATCTTAATAGGCTAGTTCATAGAATCTTCAATAGACTAGTTTTTAGTTTAGTCGATATACTGGTCGATAGGCTTGCCAAAAGTCTAGTCCATGTACTAGTCAATTTACTATTTCATAGTCTAGTCCAGAGATTAGTCAATAGGCTTCCCCATAGATAAGTTAATAGGCAAGTCCATAGACTACTCATTATCCTAGCTACTGGACTAGCCAATGGATTAGTGTATAGTCTAGTCCTTAGAGTAGTCAATAGGTTCTGCCCATAAGCTAGATCATAGACTGGTCAATAGAGTAGTCCTTATTCTAGTCCATAGTCTATAGGCTACGTCATAGACTAGTGAATATACTAGTCCATGTACTAGTCAATATAATAGTCCACGATTTAGTCAATATACTAATCTATGGTCTAGTCCAAAAACTAAAATATATTTTTAGATATGCAGTTCAGATTAAATCCAGATTTTCAAGTTGAACTTAAGTCCTTTTGTTCCAATTTCGATATTCTCTACTTACCCCTGCTTTTAAATTATAACCGGATAATTGCATATCCTCTTCTAAAATTCTCGCCAAACAAAACGCCGTTGGCCTAATGCGATACGATTCCTGAATGCAGGCCTTTGTATAGGTGGCATTTGTAAAAGCGTCTTGTAAAATTAAAGTACTACGATATTCCCGAAACTCCTCCAATATTCTAGTAATAACCTCAGGACTACTAGTAACAGAACTTAAAACAAATAGTAAAGTATTGGCCAACTGTAATTCAAGGCGAAAAAAGAAAAATATATATTATTTGTCACAACCAACTAAATGGTAATACTCACCGTTTCAATGCCGGCCGCTATAAAATCAATAATCGCCGATTTTTTATCCCTTATATCCAGATCTTTTATTTCCAATATATTCAAAAAGACACTGCGCAAATCATCGTCGTGATGCATGAAATTGGCATTATTTTCTTCCAATGCTTTATCCACCATTTCCGAAATCACACTAGGCATGAACTGAGAAGTTACTTTCTAGATTTCTTAAGAGCTGTACAAGAATGTTAGGTTGGTCTTTAGTAACTTACTCGTAAATAGTATCCTCGGCACGGGCAAATTCACGATACGTTCTGGTGGGGAAATATTTCCACAGACCCAAACCGTAATAGGAGTCACGTTGCGATATAAACAATTGTTTAACGGCACCCGCTAGTTGTTTGATTTTTTCCGGTTGTTCTGAATTGGTGGATAGAAAACCCATACGTCTGCCCAGCATAAGAGTACAGACAGCCTCTAAGCCCATTAAATTGGCTATATCCTCAAAGTTACGTACCTCAAATGTGTGGGGATTACGTTGGGCCCTTAAAACGTCTATAAAATCATCGCACACTAAATTTAGGGCTGGCAAAAAGTTTTGCAATATACGGGGCGATGTTATATAGGAGGTAAGTGATGAACGTAATTTTTGCCATGTAGGACCCTGTCTAAACAGAAGCCATTTTTAATACAACCATAAATAAATTGTGTTTAAGCCTGGAGAGGCCCACCAACACTTACTCATTTACTATGCCCACACTGGCATAACGATCGGGTTTCGAACGTCTATAGGTGACCACAATTTCGGTGGGTGGTCTAAAGGGATACTTGCTGGGATACTTCAATACCTTTTCCAAATCGGCTCTATTAAAGAGATGAACTATGGGTATGCCTGAAGGCATAACTTCCAATACAATATCACCATATTTACGATTAAGATCTGTTAAGGAGACAAGAGAATTATTATTTGAACTTAATTTTCTAATCCGAAAAAAGTTTTACCTACCCGCATACACTTCATGCAAAGTAGACATTTTGTATTTACGAAAAAACACCATAAAAATCCATTTTGTCCCTAACAAAGGCAACGATTTGGGACCCGGTATATCCCACACACCTTTGGGCCGTATCTCACGCGCATGATAGTAATCGTTGTCGGTTATTATAGAAGCCTCTGAATCTTTGGCAAATTTATGCAATTGATCGGATTTTATCAGCAAGGGTTTGATGTAACTCTCGGAAAATTTACGCAAATCAAAATTACAATAGAAGGCCAGTAGAATGGCAATTGCCATTAGTAACACAATAGCCATAACCATAGAAAATCTAGGAAAAAAAATTATTAAAATATTTTCAATTAATATTAATTCATTTTCTAAAAAATTTGTTTGTTGTCATTATTTAGCACAACAACTAGTTTGTGTGATTTTAGTTCAAGGTTTAAATTAATGTAAAATTTTTGTAATATCAGATAATAAATTTTGAGAAATAACTTGTTTTTTTTTTTCTAAACTAAATGCGAATTGTTGCATTTATTTGAATTTCATAACTGAAGGAAATCAAGAAATAATTAATACGTATTTTTTTCCAAATGCACGGTGGGCTGTGAGCCATAATTTTGTTAAGGAAATAAAGTTGAATTATTAAAAAAAAATAATTTCAGAAATTTTGATTAAAACCCCTCTGCCCTGTTAGATTAAGTCCTAGCATGTTAGTACATGTCTGCAACATACATATACTTTGAGTTACAAACGTTATGACAACTACTACCCACTTTTCAATTAATTTTCTTACATAAATATTTATTTATTCTAATATTTCTAATGCTTATCACTGTTGCCCCCCTATATGGATGCAAAAAACTTTTGCAATCATTAGTTGGGGTCTATTGAAGTGTTAGACAAATAACTGGTAGAAATTTAAGTTTTGCTGCTTGTGTTTATTTTTTTTGCTTTTCGAAACAAACAATCAGACAAAAACTACGCTAGACTAACAAAAACTTCAACTGTCTGGCAACTGTCTAACCGGTATTTAAATATTTATTTAGTTATGGTGCCTAAACGCTGCAATTTTTGTTATCTGTCAAATCAGGGTGTAAATTAATTATACACTTAAGGAAACAATTTCATTACATTTTCTGAGTTACAAAGTCACGTCTTGTGTCTTTAGTGCTCACTATAATCTAGTCTATAGTGCAGACTATAGTCTACAGTTAATACTGTAGTCTAGTCTAGACTCTATAGTTCAGTTGTAGTCTAAACTATAGTCCCGACTATAGTCTAGTCTGTAGTCCAGTCTATAGTCTGGACTATAGTGTAGTCTATAGTCTGGCCTATAGTGTATTCTATAGTACAGACTATATTCTAGTCTATAGGCCAGACTATAGTCTAGTCTAAAGTTCAGACTAGTCTTTATTCCAGACTATCGTCTAGTCTATAGTCCAGACTATAGTGTAGTCTATAGTCCAGACTATAGTCTAGTCTAAGTCCAGATTGTAGTCTAGTCTATAGCCCAGACCATAAACTAGTGTATAGCCCACACTATAGTCTAGTCTAGACTCTATAGTTCAGAATATAGTCTAGTCTATAGTTCAGACTTTAGTCTAGTCTGTAGTCCAGACTATAGTCTAGTAAATAGTCCAGACTATATTCTAGTCTATAGTCCAGACTATATTCTAGTCTATAGTCCAGACTATATTCTAGTCTATAGTCCAGAGTATATTCTAATCTTTACGCCAGACTTTAGTCTAGTCTATGTGCCAGACAATAGTCTAGTCTATAGTCCAGACTATAGTTTAGTCTATAGTCCAGACTATAGTCTAGTCTATAGGACAGACTAAAGTCTAGTCTATGTGCCAGACAATAGTCTAGTCCATAGTCCAGACTATAGTCAAGTCTATAGTCCAGACTATAGTCTGGTCTATAGTCCAGGCTATAGTCTAGTCTGTAGTCCACAGTATAGTCTAGTCTATAGCTCAAACTTTAGTTTAGTCTATAGGCCAGACTATAGTCTAGTCTATGTGCCAGACTAGTCTATAGTCCAGACTATAGTCTAGTCTATAGTCCAGACTATAGTCTAGTCTATAGTCCACACTACAGTCTAGTCTATAGTATAGTCTGTAATACAGTCTGGTCTGTAGTTCAGACTATAGCCTAGAATATAATTCAGACTATAGTCTAGTCTATACTCCAGACTATAATCTAGTCTAGTCAAGACTATAGCTAAAATATAGTTCAGACTATAGTCTAGTATGTAGTCCAGACTATAGTCTATTCTATAGTCCAGACTGTAGTCTAGTCTATAGTCCAGACTGTAGTCTAGTCTGTAGTCCAGACTGTAGTCTATAGTCCAGACTACAGTGTAGTCTATAGTCCAGACTACAGTGTAGTCTATAGTCCAGACTTTAGTCTAGTCTATAGTTCACACTATAGTCCAGTCTATAGTCCAGACCATAGTCTAGTCTGTAGTAAAGACTATAGTCTGGTCTGTAGTTCAGACTATAGCCTAGAATATAATTCAGACTATAGTCTAGTCTGTATTCCAGACTATAGTCTAGGCAATAGTTCAGACTATAGTCTAGACTATAGTTCAGACCATAGTCTACTCTATAGTCCAGACTATAGTCTACTCTATAGTCCAGACTGTAGTCTAGTCTATAGTCCAGACTGTAGTCTAGTGTATAGTCCAGATTATAGTCAAGTCTATAGTCCAGAATATAGTCTCTTCTATAGTCTAGACTATAGTCTAGTCTGTATTGCAGACTATAGTCTAGTCTGTATTTCAGACTATAGTCTAGTCTAGTCTAGACTCTATAGTTCAGACTAAAGTCTAGGCTATAGTTCAGAATATAGTCTAGACTATAATTCACACCATAGTCTAGTATGTAGTCCAGACTATAGTCTACTCTACAGTCCAGACTATAGTCTATTCTATAGTCCAGACTATAGTCTAGTCTATAATCCAGACTATAGTCTAGTCTATAGTCCAGACTATAGTCTAGTCTATAGTCCAGACTATAGTCTAGTCTATAGTCTAGACTATAGTCAAGTCTGTAAAACAGACTATAGGCAAGTCTGTAATCCAGACTATAGGCAAGTCTGTAGTCCAGACTGTTGTCTAGTCTATAGTCCAGACTGTAGTCTAGTGTATAGTCCAGACTATAGTCTAGTCTATAGTCCAGACTATAATCTAGTCCATAGTCCAGACTGTAGTCTAGTCTGTAGTCCAGACTATAGTCCAGTCTATAGTCCAGACTATAGTCTAGTCTATAGTCCAGACTATAGTCTAGTCTATAGTCCAAACTATAGTCTAGTCTATAGTCTAGTCTATAGTCAAGTCTATAATCCAGACTATAGTCAAGTCTATAGTTCAGACTATAGTCTAGTTTATAGTACAGCCTATAGTCAAGTCTATAGTTCAGTAGTCTTGATTATAGTCTATACTCAGGATACTAGTCTATAGTACTGACTATATTATAGTCTTTAGTCAAGTCCCTTAACCATAGTTTTTTCAATAGTCTAGTTTTGACTATTGCACTAATTTACGAATACATTTTTGTGAGTGTATTGTGATGATTGTATGCAGTATATTGAAAAATCATATGGGATCTATATAGTAACTATCACAAAAACGAGAAGTGTGACCAATAATACAATTACAAACATAAATGTGTTAGTTTGCACGAATATTTATTTATTTAATAAATATTTCAACTCATTTTAAAATATTTACCTGCCATTGAATTTTTATGCATTTCAAATTGAAAAACTTTACAAACACAACAAACTAATTTTTAAAATAAATGTTTAATTATTTATTATTATTATTAATTTATTTAAAAAAATGCACAACAAACACGTTTTAAGCACAAATGAGCAAACATTTTGTAGATCATATTTTATTGGACAGACAAATCGGGTTTAATTGCAAAGTCATTGGGTTACTAATCAGTTATTAACTTTTGATTTGAATTAAACATTTTAAACTGTTACAAATTTGTAGAAAATTTTACTTTATTTAAAATATATTTAAAACTCAATTGCGTATTATGGAAAATTATTACATTTTAGTTAGTTTCTTTTTGTTTTTTTGCCACTTTGTATTTATTTAATTTTTATTGTTTATTTATTTTTGTTCCTCGTGTAATGATGACTTTGAAATGAATAAAAGTTTTGATTCAGAACGAATTTTATTTTCATTCGTTGTTGTTGTATGAAATTATTATTACACATAGTTCAAGTGCAAGTAGTCAGTATTTCTTCTTTTTTTTTGTAAAAATTCTGAATACCAACACTAGCAACAACAACAAGAACAGCAATTACAACCAACAATAACGATATGTACAATAAAATTGAAATCTACAAAATTGTATTTGCAAAAACAGAAAATTTATTGAATTAAGAATGAAACAGATAACAATTTAAAGCAACAACAACAATAACAACAACAAAAGCAAAAAATATGGAAAATAAATTCGAAAAAAAGTCATAATCAGTGCAAAAATACAAAAGGAGTTGCCACTCCCAGCAAAAAAAGTGTGGAAAAAGATGTAGAATTTTCATCACAACTAGTAACCCGAAGTGCTTCAAATTCGGGTGTAAAACCTATGAATTTTACATTAGCGTGTCATTAGAGGGATGTTGTTCATTTTTGGCAGCTTTGAACTACATCTGATCTTATTTTTAGAAGCAGTAAAAATCCGATATTTGGATGTCAAAAATAAAACACATTCTCTTAATGACACGCTTATGTAAATTTCACTACTCTTTCACCAAATCTTGATGTACTTCAAATATGTTATTTGTAATGAATTTTCCACATCTCTTTCCTCACTTTTAACTGGGGTTTCATTTGTAAGGAAATATTTGGTTTATAAAAGTGAAAAATATGTAATCGCATTTTAAGATGTGATTAAGATGTAGTTTGTAAAGTATGACATCAATTATTTTTTGCTGGGCTATATTGAAATATCAGAATTTATCGAAAATTTGCGATAAATTTTAAAAAAATTTTCGATAAATTTTCTTTTTTGAAAAATTTTCGATAAATTTTCTTTTTATAGAAAATTTACGATAAATTTTCTTTTTATAGAAAATTTACGATAAATTTTCTTTTTATAGAAAATTTACGATAAATTTTCTTTTTATAGAAAATTTACGATAAATTTTCTTTTTATAGAAAATTTACGATAAATTTTCTTTTTATAGAAAATTTACGATAAATTTTCTTTTTATAGAAAATTTACGATAAATTTTCTTTTTATAGAAAATTTACGATAAATTTTTTTTATAGAAAATTTACGATAAATTTTCTTTTTATAAAAAATT